TTGCTTCAACCCTAATTAAACACACCTGATCGAACTAATTAAGGTGTTCAAGACGACTAGACACTACTAAATCAGCTGTGTTTGATTAGGGTTGGAGCAAAACTGTGGCCCTCCAGAAATTGAATTTGAGAGCTTTGGACTCAACTCAGACTCAACTTAATATTAAAAAAAAACACACAACATACAATGCATAATTTATTAGGTGCATCTCCCTCCCCGCTAGACTCATTTAATGACCTAATGGCCACCATTATATAAAAAAAATTCTAATCCTATTTGACCTGCAATTAGGAACTCTAAAATGATGTCCTGATGGCAGCAGCTAAAACACAGAGTACCCGGGGTGCGTAGGATACCCTGAGCTCTCTTTAAAACATAATTATGGGAATTTACCATTGGACCAGTTTGGTTAAAACTGATAATCTTGCCTGCCACCTTCACAAGGATACTCAACCTGTTCTTATTTGACAAACTCAGATTACTGTACCGAGCTACAATGGAGTAAGATAAAACAGATACAATAAATTGTTCATAAAACAGTGTCATCACAGAGGTACAAACCCGAAACGTTCCAAGTTTCTTTAGAAAAAACAGTCTTTGTTCAGCTTTTTTTATAGACAGCCTGGGTGTTTGGTTGAAATGTCAACATATTGACAATAACTTCCTCTAGATATTTATGTGTCAACAATGTCAATGTCCAAACCTTTAATGTGTTATGCTAGGTGTAAATGATGCCTTTCTGTAATCTATTAAAATGTCTTTTGTTTTATTTACATTCAACTGAAAAGAAAATCTATCACACCAGAAAGCAAATTTCTCCACAACAGAGCCATGCCCCAAATCCTGAACGTGGAGGAGACTCGCAATCACAGAATCATCAGCATATTTTATTATATGACAGTTCCTGTATATATTCTGACAAGCATTTATATACATATTATACAGGAATTGAGTTGGGGAGCTTTAATACAGTATGTAGGTTGCTTCTAGAGATTACTGGTTACCGATTACTGGATTCAGGGTAAACCCCAGTAAATTTTGCAACAGATACTAACATGACTAATTTTTACTATCATAAATTCTGTAATCATCGCAATTTAGAAAATTCACAGTAAATCCTATAACATTTTGATTAGTAAATTGCTGAAGTCTGCAATGTAAATGCATGTTTAGACAGTTAAAAATATGTAAGGAGTTTAATCAATAGATTGCCATGATTTTAAACGCACAATACGGAGGCAAAGAACCGGGCAACAGGAAGCAGAGGTCGGCTCCAAACAGACTCATTGGAAAAATGTGCCCTGGTGTACATTTTTGAGAACTGAGAAGTATTTGCTTACAGGTACAGCCTCGTTCACACTAGCAGCAACTTAGTAGCTGCCTGTCACTCTGGGTGGCGACCTGGGGGGGGGGTGGGGGTTATGGGTGTTGTCGCGGGGGCACTTCAGATCATTTTTGAAGGGCAATTTCTATCCAAGACTAAAAAGGGCATGTGCACTACACAGGTTGAGCCCATGAACATTGGTGGAGCAAAGCGGAGCAGACCGGTTTTAAGTCTGGCAAAGGATGGTTCCAAAAACCAAGTACAATGAAATCCAACAAAAGCAGAAGCATCCGGCTATGATGGCTTTTCTCTTTAAGTTTGCTATTGAAAACACTATCAGTTGGGTTCAGGGAGGAGGTGAATAGGTCAGGTGATATCAAGCTGACATATTATGCATGATAAAAAGGCTACTGGCTTCTCTTATGAACGTGCACAAAAAGGACGTTAATGTTTGAAGAAATGTACACAGCTGCCTCTGGTGGATTTATGAGAAATGGCACGTACTTTATGAGAAAACGTGCCCCAGTAATGTATTTGAGATTGTCAATAATGTACATGCTGCCCTACACATAAACCGCAAGACAATGTAGTCCAGGATACTGTACATATTTGTCAGTTCTCAAAAAATATAGTCCTGGGCACATGTTTGCAATGAGCCTGGGTTCAGTTGGCTATGTTGTATTTCATTAATTTAAAGCGTGTGCTGTACACTATTGAAATAAATGCAAATCAAATTACAAAATCAGTCAGAAAAATCCCATTTTTTATATTTTCATGAAATCATTTCATGAAATTTTGCGACAAACAACATAAAAGTGGATTTCAATGAGGTAGCTTTTCCAAGTTTTTTTTTTTTTTTTTTTAAATTAAACAATACCTTTATTAAAAAATTAAATGTACCTATTTATACTTCAGGGATCAATGTTCATGTTTTTTGTCACAAAATTGCATTAGGCTGCAAATTGTATGTGGTTTGTTCATTTCAAGTGCAGAACTTGGAGCAATGACTTAAGTCTGTGATATTTTCAGCTCATTTTAACAAAAATATAATAATAATAATGATAACCGTGATAATTTTTGGTTCCTTTAATTGTTTTATGTATTTTTGTAGTTGCTATATCCAGCATAAGCACAAGTATAGTGCTATTTTGGTGAACAATGCACACATACTCCCTTTCTGTAGTAAACAAATAATATCTGATCACGTGCGAGTTTGTAACCTTGCATTCATGATTAAGGAGGAAGCTTGCATTCCGGACAGTTGTAAACACATTCAAGACTATTTGCAGAAGCTGTTAACGTTTATAATAATATTAAGTTTCTTGCTTAGATTGATCATTTACTCTCATAAGACATCATTGTTGTCATGAACCATGGAAATTAATAAGTTTTTCAAGTGTGTTTTTTTCCTCTAAAAGTGGCAGGAGCTTTTTTTACTTGTGTTTTACAGTATGCATCATTTTATGCAAGGTCATGTTTTTAACAAAACATTTTTTATGTTCTAAAAAAGTAAAATTTAAATTAGTTAATTAAATGTCTAAATTTGTAGCAAATCATTTTTATAAATAAATAATTGCATTAATGGTGACTAACATAAACACGTTCATTTTCGACAGTAAATATAAGTCTTATGTTGCTTAGGCTGCTGGCTAATTAAGTGATGAATCGATCTGTTAAGCTAGTTTTGTCACAGCCATGCTTTATTTCAAACAAAACACAAAAATGTATTAGTATCAAAGACAGGATATTATAGTACCTCATTATTAATTTAGGGTTCTTTCAATTAGATATCACTTAATAATTTACAAAGAAAAAATATATATATATCCATAAGTAACAAATCTAAAGTAGTTATTAATTATACAAGTCTAAAACATTCAAATTGATTAGTATAACATGTTTTAATAATATACAGGAACTACACGACACACAGCGCTACAATTATTTTGAAGAAAGAAAAACTAGAATGGTTCCCTATTTTCTTGTTTTCTGCAGTCAAAGTTTTAATTAAATCAGTTGTCTGCTGTATTTGTTTAATTGGGTAACACTTTAGTTTAGGTCACAATACATGGTATCAACAAACCATTACCTAACACTACTCGATTGATAAACTACTAATTAGCTGTTTATTAATTGTTATTAAGGTAGAAGTTGGGTTTAGGTTTGGGGTAGAATTAGGGATGCAGAATAAGAATGCTACTAATCAACAGATAATGTCTTAATAATTTGTAAAGACCCTGGTCTAGGTACAAGGGCGTAACAAATAAAACACTCGACAAATAAAATAACTTTTAAGAACCTTTAGAGTTGGGTCAGTTTATTTGTCTTTTTTTTTTTTGTCGCTTTTTTTTTGTCTCTCTCTTTTTTAAAACAAGTAATTTTTTAAGCCATTAGTTAAACTGTGATCTAAACTAAAGCATTTGTTTCACAAAAGAAAAAACTCATTCAGTATTACGTTTTTTGGATGAACTATACAAAGCTTCCATGAAGAACCTTTAACTTCCATGGAACTTTTAAATTCCACAAAAGCATGTTAACAGCGGGTCAGAAATGTTCCTTGGATTATGAAATTGTAAAAAATGTTCTTTTACTGTATGTGTGTGTGTGTGTGTGTGTGTGTGTGTGTGTGTGTGTGTGTGTCCATTTAACTCACATTTTTAATGCCCATGTTATTCTATGTGTTCTTAAAATGCTGTTTACCAATATTTTTCATAAAAGAGTGTAAAAATGCTTGCTTGCTGAGAGTGAGAGTGTGTGTACGTGTGTGTTTTGTGTCAGCGTCTGAACACACAGTCCACTACTATCAACCTCACACATGTCAGACTCAAACAAAAAATTTAAGACTAAACAGCTCAGTTCATTCCCTGACGGAGACCAGCACTAACATGCCAACTAATGACTAGAACTCATATGAAGTGCTTCCCCTCATCTTAAACTCATTCCAATTTATGCACTTTAAAGTTCCTGAGTTGTTTTAATCTAAATATGAGTAGAACATGCATCAAATTAATAAAAAAATAAACACCTAATTTTAGTTTTTGTGTGTTTATTTTGTTATTTAAAGCAAATTTGAGTTAAAACAACCCAACATTTTTGTAAATGTACATCCAAAATTAGAAAATAGATAGAATAGATAGAAATCAATGTTTACCCATTATACTTGTGTTTGTATGTTTATATATTAGTGTATTTTGTGTTGTTGCTTTGTTTCTATTTTAGGTGTCACTGTTTAACATTCTGTCAATGTTCTACAGATGAAAAACAGACTTTCTTGGCTAATTCTGGGATATTTTTTAGTAATGTTTATTAATTTGCATTGCCCCAGTAAACAAATAAACTAAACTAAATCAGTCAAAGAAATGTACTTCTAAAAAAAGCTTCTTCACGATGAATATCACTACAGCAAACTATTTTGTTTTTGAAACTTTTGGAGTTATTAGTACAGATGGGGAGGACCGCAGTGACTTTCTAAAGAAAAAAAAAGGATGAGAAGAGGAGAGAACTGAGGACTGAAGGGGAGGAATGAACAAAACATTTGTTTGTTATCAGAAGGCCTTTCTCTCAAGGTCTCACTGGGTGTTGTGCAGAGCTTTGACCAGCCTCTCTGAAAAAAAGATCAGCCTCCCAGAGACTTCACAAAAACACACCAACACAAGCAGAGGAAAAAAAAACAGAATCAAGACCTCACCTGAACAACAGCAGCTAACTCAGGACGTCCCGCGGCAGGCCTCAGGATGGTGTTGTCAATGATGCTGTGCTTTATTCTTGGCTGCTCCATGGCAAACACCGAAGACACACTTGCTGCATCTCAGTTCTGTGCTTTCAATGGATCCACTCGCTCTTTCATCTGTCTGGGCAACAAGGTGCTTGAGATACCAAGAAGAATACCCACAAATACCACGTTTGTGTGAGTACAAACCTTAACACTTTTAAAATACATGTAGAGGAAGGTCTATGTTGTCAGGATGTAATATCAGAGCGTGTTGTCATTATTGCGTTAGGGTTAGGTTAACTAAAACTGCTTTTTAAATGTTTTTAATAAATAAAACAAATTCATATGAAAATAAATAGAAAATAATTGAAATAATGAAAATAAAGATTCATATTTTTTAGTATAGATTATTAAACAATGTCAAACATTGCTGTCATAACTACTGCTACTACTACTACTATCACTACTACTACTATCACTACTACTACTAGTACTACTACTAATAATAATAACAATAATAATAATAATAATAATAATAATAATAATAATAATAATAATAATAATAATAATAATAATAATAAGTAAAGGAATGGAAAGAATTTGATTTAAAAGTAAAAATTAGGTACTTTAATACTACTTTTATAATCTCTACATTATGTAAAAAAAAACATTGGTTACTTTATGTTGGAGAAAATGTGGTAAAATAGGAGATCATAAACATTTTTTGGGACTGCTCAAAGATTCAAGAATTTGTAGTAAAATGTAGTAGATAATACCCTTCGATCCATTTGTGTGCTTATTGGGAGCACTGCTTAAAGAAATGTTTAATGAAGTAACAAGATTTGTATTAAGGATATTATTACTGGTTGCAAAACAAATGATAACCATACATAGGATGGAAGAAGTTCCTCCAAAGGTGGCTCAGTGGATTCAGAGACGTAAACAGGTCTACTGTATGTAATGAAATAAATGACTGCGTCTACAAAAGAAGACTAATATTTTTCTGAAGAGGTGGAGAGGTATTATAAGCTATTTATATGTGTACATTTAGAGGTTATGTAACTTAACAATATTGTAAATTGAGGTAATAATGTAACACAATGTAACTTACTGTACAAATGTATCTCCTAAAAAGAATTAAGATGGCAGTACTCTTTTACTATTTTATATTATTTATCTTATTTTATTTGAAATTTTTATGTCATAATTTTTTTTATTCTCTCATCTGTAAGGCGTTATATTGTTGGAGTATTTATTTATTACTAATAATAATAAGTAAATACCTAAATCACTAAATATTTAATTGAAAGCTAAGTGGAATATGGGTCACACTTTACAATGGACTTCAGGTTTCATTATTATGCAATGTAAATGTAAAACTAATGTTAATGTAAATTTAATATGATGTAATTTTAAGATAATCTGTTTACTAACATGAACTAAAAACAAACAATTCTTGTACAACATTTATCAAGTTTTATATAAGTAATTTATTATTACAGTTTTTCTCAGTTGCCTTGGTGCATTTTCCACAACCCTATTTACATTTGCACAACAGTTAATGCACTTCTCTAAACAATTAGTCATTTATGCAGATCATAGTAGCAGTTTCTCATTCCTTCCAACAAATTGCAAATGCTTTTGTACATGCATCAATTGCGTTCATACAACTTTCTGCTGTTTATAACATTATAATTTTCTTATGTCATGTGTCAAAATTAACTAAACTTCTGAATGCTGAACAGTCAAACCATATTAAACTAATACTCCTCATTTCATTACTTCAGTCATTACATCCAAAAATGTTTAACTAGTTGTCAAAATCTGTCAAGCTAATTTTACTTAAAAAAATCTTTTTCTTTTCTCAAAATGTCTTGATTTTGACAATGATTTACAGACCTGTGTATGTTGCAGGTTCAGTTCCAATTTGTATTGCAATATTGTTTAGAATTGTGCACAGCTCTACCCAAAGGAAGTTTATTTTTATTGTAAAAAAGGGTGTATGTATTCTTTTGCATAATGCTGTGAATAAATTAGAATTACAAAGAGCCAATGCAGTAAAAATGTCACACATACATATTCAGTGTCTTGTACCCAACTAAATGCAGTAATATCTAACTTTACTGTAGTTTTCAAGTAGCTGTGCTAATAGTATAGAGTGCTGTCTTGAGCATTTTCAGCAAGTGTCACCAAAATCTGACATTTTGCACTGGAAAAAATGTACAGAGTAAACTCTGAAATGAAAACATGACATATCTTGTTCATAAACAATGGTGTCAGGACTTTTCGTCTTGATGACACTGACACTTACTTTCATTGACATCAATATTCGCTTTTGAGGAATGTGCTCTCCATTTTGAGCCAGTAACAATCTTTTGCAGGTTATCAGCTTTTGCAGTTTGTACTAATTGTTCTAAGAAATGCATTAACTATTCAAACAGGCCCGTATTGGCTAATCGGGAGGACCGGGAGAATTCCCGGTGGGCCGGTCCGTTTTTTGGCCGCGAGGGCCGGTGTCCCTAGTTCCAGAATCGGTTGCTCTCAGCAGTCACACTTTTAAAAAATAATTTAATTATTTACTTGACCACAGCCTTCTTATTCATTATTTTACCGCAGCTCTGCTCTTTTTATCTATTTTCTCGTAGCCTCGTGAGCAGGATGCAGGTTAATGATGATATAACTAGATAAGTCACCGTTTTACGTACAGCTGTTGCGGTACAATGGTTAGTACGTTAGATTATGGTTAATGGGTTCGGTCCTTGTCTGAGTAGTAATTTTTTTTTTTTTTTCATTTTTATTGTTAAGACATAATACTGTAAGGGTTGTTGAACATTTGAAGTTCTAAAAGAGCTATTTTCTCAAAAGAAGACGTGATAGTATAATTAGAAATTGAATTGGAAATAACCTTATTTTAATATAGTCAGTGGTGAACTGAGGTGGGCCGGTCTGAGGCTTGAAACTCCAGGGCTGAAAAAGAGTCCCACTCCGGCCCTATGTTCAAATGTAAAGAGTGTTGTGAGAAATGCACCAAAGCGACTAAGAAAATCTGTCAAATCCAAATTCACTCTTATTAACATTAGTTACTGACCTCTACTGAGTACTAACAATGAACAACTTAATTTTCCTTAATTAACATTAAAAAAGATGAATAAATACATTAATAAATGTATTGTCTATTGTTTGTTCATGTTAATAAATACATTAACTAAAAGAAGTAACTGATACAACCTTATTGAAAAATGTTACTTTAATATGTAATAGTAATTAAACTGCTGCCTATGCTCAAATGCAAGCATTAAAATGTAAGCACATAAATCATAATCACGCATCATTAAAAAAATTATTAAAAGTTTCCTGAAAAGGTCTCCTAAATCAATTACAAAATGATATAAACAAATGTGTCATGTATTGCATGCATTATATTTCATTTAGCAAGTTTAAACTGTTTAAATAACTTTCAAACTTGATAGTTAGAAAACGGACAATATCAATATATGCCTTACATTTCATCATTTTATGATATATGGCATATGACAATAATGCAAAAATAAGACTACTTAAAAGCAAGCCCGTAGGTGTAAAAAAAATTTTGTAATGATTTTTGCTTTTTTTTTTATTTACAAAAGTAATATGTAAAGGTGAATATGGTTTATGCACAAAAACATAATAAGTTACTTTTAAATTACACAATAAAATATGCAAACATATTGAATTTATTCTTTTATTTAGCATTTAACCAATTTGCAAAGTAACCTTTAATCAGTTTAAATTAAAATTATTCACACTGATTTATGCTTCCAATAAAAGTGTTATGATTAAAAAAGATATAATTTATTACAGAAATAAATATGGAAATGTTCCACATATTCCATTCATTATTTTCTTATAGTACTGTAGCATTTAATCATGACATTGTAATCTTTTTAAACTACAATTTTTTTTCCTCTAATTTTTTATCTGACACCAAAAAAATACTCTTAAAGTTAAGAATTAAAATAGACTAATTAAAAAACATCAAATCTCAATGACATCGTTTCTCAGAGTTTGTCATTGTGGTTTGGAGAGAATGTGACTGACAAGAAGCCATCTTTCTGTTTTGAGTGCCACAATATTTTTTTGTAACTTCAAGGATATCAGCAACTCTCTGTCTGACACAGGAGAGTGGGTTTTTATCTCAGCTGTTTCCCATATACATTATTGCATGAAGCCATTTCAACCAATCACTGATATATAAGAGATTGATAAGGGAAACCACCACTGGTTTCTCAAGCAGGTTATTGTATAAGTTGGGTTCATTTCTTGGATTAATTTCCTTAGGTTTCTGTATTTTTCCATTGTTCAGCATAAAAGACTTTCTGCTTAGCACTGCAGGACAATGCAGTCTTATACATCATAGGAATTGTTCAAGCTATACAAATTAGAATTTTCCTTCTTTAATACCTTCTAGGGCTGCACAATATTCAAAAAATCTAACATTGCAATATTTTGTTATTCAACGATTATAAATTGCAATATTGAGAATAATTTCATCAGATCACTTAATATTTGGAAAAAAAAATAACATTTTTGATTGGGTGATCCTGTAAGTGAGTGAATCATGCATAAAATATAATAAATGAAATCTACAAGCATAGATAAATACAATAAAGAAAATTATACAATTTAAATAAGCAGTATTTCATTGTTTTCCGATTCTAACAGTATTTAGGTACAGTAACTGACCTATTATGCAGTAGTCTCTTCTGTTACTATTTTTGTGCTTTGGCACAAGTTGTTGTTGTTTTCTTTTGATATTATAATACATTTGTTTTATTTGACATATGTCTAAATTAATTATTTAATTGGCAACTAGCTGAAATATAAAACGTTTTAATATATATTACTATTTTTATTTCAGAATGAAACTTCAGTTTATCATATTACAGTTTTTCTCAGTCGCTTTGGTGCATTTCTCACAACACTAGTGCATTTCTACACAACAATTAATGCATTTCTCAAAACAATTAGTACAAACTGCAAAACCTAGCTGATAACCTGCAAAAACGCATCACATGCTCAAAATGGATAATTCATTCCTCAAAAGCAAGTATTCATGTCAATCAAAGTGTCAGTATCATCAAAATGAAAAGTGCTGACACCATTGTTTATGAACAAGATAGTCAAATGGCTTTGTCATGTTTTCATTATGACAGTTT